CACACACTGTTTCACTGCTCTTTTGCTGCAGTGGCTCTTCTGCCAACACCAGGCCCAGCTGGGTTCCAGTTAATTAACTGTGTTGTCTTATCAGCTCTCTTGCACACACTATCCATGCTGCATGTGAATTAACTCTGCTGCTGATAAGCTTCATTGTTCTGAGCCCTAGAGAGCCACATGCCTTCTCCCGCCCCCCCCCCCCCCCCAATCCAGTTTTGTTGGCTGAAAAACCTCTAGAGCTGGCAGTTCCTTTGAAGTGGGCAGCATTTAAAGAGAGGCCTCAAAAGCTGGCTACATTTCTGTCCCCTCCACATACATTCTCAGATATAAAACCCACCTTCCTTTAAGACAGTCACCTGGTTCCTTTTCCTACCTTCACTTCCCTTCGAAAAGGCCACAAGTAATAGTGGAACATGTTTATTGTTCACTGTAACTATTTCTGCTATGAAATAATTTGAGGTAATGCAAGCAAATGAAAAGAATGGGTGGCAATTATTATAATATATAGACAGCTTTTGGTGTATGCCTCAGTACTGTTTCTGCTTAGTCAAAGAGACGCAGCATGATGGACTGGTGAGCATGTCAGACTAGAGTCTGTGAAACCCAGGTTCAAATCCTTGGTCTGTCAAGGAAGTTCCCTGAGTGACCTTGGAACAATTTCTCAGCTTGACCTACTTCACAGGGTTGTTGTTGTTGCTGCTGTGAGGATAAAATGGAGGCAGGAAAAAGAATTTTGTAATCTGCTTTGGTTCTTCACTGAGGATAAAATCAGGGCATGTAAATATCTAAATGAAATATCATTATTAATGGCAACAATCAGGGCTATTTTGGGGCAGAAACACACAGGAACGGAGTTCCGGCTGGCTCCCAGGTTGGCCACGCCCAGCAGGAACTAATTAGCATGATAGGCCACACCCAACAGCAGAAACTCATTAGGATTGGCTACATTAGGGGTGTGTGGCCTAACATGCAAAGGAGTCCCTGCTACAAAAAAAAGGCCCTGGGTTTTGACAACAAACAAGGTAAACAGAATAAGAAGCAAAAGGTGGGTGTGGCTGGATGACCACACTTCTGGCAACATGGAGCTGCGGTCTAATGTTCTAATGAGCTTTGCTGTCAGGGTTGTGACCTAATATGCTAATGAGTTCCTGCTGTTGGGTGTGGCCTATTATGCTAATGAGTTCCTGCTGGGCTTTTTCTACAAAAAGAGCCCTGGACAATAATAATTTAAATATGTATAGGTCTTAAGGGTAGCTTATTATTAATCATTCTAAGAACAATAATTGAATTAAATCATTTACAGCCTACCTTTTTCAGTGACTTCAAGGTGGCTTACAATTACATTAAAAACATCTCGAGAAAAGGAATGGCCCAACAAGGAAATAAAAATTGACCTGATGCCCTCCATGAATATTTCTAATTCTCTTTGAAAACCAACTAGTGGTCATCACTATATCATGTGACAGTGAGTTCCACGGAATAATGATATGTCACATGAAGAAGTATGTCCTGAATCTCCTGTCTGCCAGCTTCACCAGTTACTCCCCCAAGTCCAAGTGTCTTGAGAGATGGAGAAGTGTTCTCTCCCTCTCTCCCCCTCTCCCTTTTCTCGACACTGTGCATCATTTTATTAACCTCTCTCGTGCTAATTGGCTCTTCTAGGAGCTGCGGTGGCTCAAGTGGTTAAGACGCTGAACTGCAGGCTGTGGAAGGTCAGTAGTTCAGCAGTTCAAGACCTGGGTGCCGCAAGACGGGGTGAGCTCCCATCTCTAGTTCCAGCTCCTGCCAACCTAGCAGTTCGAAAGCAAGAAATTGCAAGTAGATAAATAGGTACCACTTCAGTGGGAAGGAAACAGCCTTCCTGTGCGCCTTGGTGTTTAGTCATGCCGGCCACATGACCACGGAGACGTCTTTGGACAGCGCTGGCTCTTCGGCTTTGAAACAGAGATGAGCACCCCAACCCTAGAGTCGGACTCGACTGACTTTTGAGCAAGGGAACCTTTACCTTTACTCTTCTATATTTCTTTCTATCTGGGATTCTAGAAGATCACCTTTCATTTCCTTGACTTCGTTTAGGGAAAGGAAGCAGAATTAACAAGAACATAATACTGAATGCAGTAGAAAAGAGTAACAGTCCAGTAGCACCTTAAAGACTGACAAAGTTTGCAGTAGGGTATGAGCTTTTGTTAGTCTTTAGGTGCTACTGGACTCTTTCCTACTGCTACAGACAGACTAACACAGCTACCCATCTTCATAAAACAATGCTAAATGGGAATCTTGGTAGCCCTCATGTGGTCACTTTGGGCACTGCAGCCCTTGCTCCTTGTACAGTGTTGGAATCAGAGGCTACCCCTCCTCCCCCAAGCTGCTTGTTTGGTTAGTTTGGGAAAGATGACTGGCTTTTAAAAGCCTGGAAAAGGTAGACATGTGCCTCAGGTGTAAATGGCAAAGCCCACATATCAAACTTCCTCTGTTTGCCTGATGCGCTGTTTTGGTTTTGGAATGGGCACAATGTCTGTAATGGGGAAAGGTTCTGGGTGTTGTGTGTACAAAATAGAAAGTCAATTGATTTCACAATGCATGCCAATGTATGTAGGTAGATATTGATTTGTTTTAAAGGTTTGTGTTCTGTCTTTCTGTCTAAGAATGCGCACGTTCTCTCCCAAAATAAGAAGTTGTTCTGTTCAAAGATGTTCTGTAAACTGAGTTTTGAAACATTGCCATGAAACAGTGTTAAAACTTCTGTACTGGAAACCAAAGCCTAACCCTTTCCCTTGAAAATGACATTCATACATAGTCACACTAAAGAGAGAGTATATAACACCTATTAAAATAACAGGATGAAGGAACATCTCACATTTTCATAAAATCTCAATTTAAATCCAGTGAGAGTTACTAGTGCATTGCTGCATGAGTCAAACAATTCAAAATAAGCTGAGATCAACTTGATCCAGTGCCAAAAAGATTACATACAACAGAATGAGCCTGTAGAATACCAAGTTGGCAGGATGCACTTGTGCAGCTTCTTACTGTAGGTGGTGGATGCCCTTTTTGAATCCCCCAGTTTAAAACAACACCAACAAAAAACTCCCTGTGGATCAAAAATTAGCACATCAGGGATAAAAGTTCACAGTCTCACTGAGTTGTCTCAAGGTGAGTTCTCCTTCCCCCAACACTTATTTGTGCTCTTCAGCAGCCTATGTAGGAGGGGCCACAGAAAACCAGGGGCAAAAACAAACATGAGGAAGTACACAAAATAAATAAAGCACAGGTGCTGTGGTGTAAACTTTTTTAAAAAAAAGCTTTGCAGGGCATTTGAAAGAAGAGTCCTGTGTATTTGTTAAAGTCACTTATTCTCCCTTTGATAGGCTTGAGGAAGAAAAAGGGAATTCTTGCAACGAAACTGATGCACTTACTCCTTAATCAGTGGAGATCCTCCTTAGCCTCCTCTGCTTCTGAAATCCCCTAAGCAATTACCTACTTGTTTTCAGTTCTACCTTCACAGTCATAAGGCTGTTGTTATTCATTTATCACTATCCATGGGCTAGTGCTTAATAGAGTATATGAGGTCCCGAGGATCTTTCAGTTTAAATGTTAGCTTCGAGAGGGGAGGAGAGGGAGAGATAAAGAGGGCAGAATATGCCCTCATTCCATTTTGGGTTAGTTTCAGTAGAGGTTGTGCCCCAGTGCTTCAGAATACTACCTTCTGTTACCTGAAACAAAACTGCCCGTACTGGCTGAGTGGCATGGAAGATGAACACTCTAGGAGGACTATCACATTTTTATCACATTTATCCCACTTTATCTCATTTTTCCTCCATGGAACCCTGGATGGCATGCATGGATTTTGCCTCCCAACAACCCTGTTAGAGCAAATTTAAAGTCCTGTGGCACCTTTAAGACCAACAAAGGTTTATTCAAGGTATGAACTTTTGTGTGCAAGGCACACTTTTTCAAACACATTGGGATGGTAGGTGACATTCAAACTTATAAAAGGTAAAGGTAAAGGTTCCCTTGCTTGAATGCCAGTCGAATCCGACTCTAGGGTTGCGGTGCTCATCTCCGTTTCCAAGCCGAAGAGCCAGCACTGTCTGAAGACGTTTCCGTGGTCATGTGGCCAGCATGACTAAACACCAAGGCGCACAGAACTTATAGACAGGGCCTTAAAGACCGGGTCTTTCCAGGCATAGTCTGACACTCTAACCACTGTTACAGAGTATCATCCCATTTGTGTGTGTGTGTGTGTGGGGGGGTGTTACTTAAAAAAGGTGCACCGACTCCAAAAGTCTCTGGCTGTTTTAAAACAATGTGTTAACTATTAAATCAGTAGATTGTGTGAAGAATGGTTAATTTCTGCAGTAATCACTTAGTTATGATAGAAGAGAGGTCAGAAGTTTATATATTCCAGGTCTTGGTAAAAAATCTCAGTGTTGTCTTTTAAGAACTTTATTTAAAATCAGTCTATTCATTCTTGAACTATTCATTCTCACCGTGCCTCAGATTTGGGAGATACGGAGTTTTTAGCGTGAAGCTATCTTATAGAGAAGCAATGATGTGAGGTTTCAGAGGGTCAGGGTTTCAAAGGGCAGCCAACCCGGTCTACAGTAGAAGAGCTAGATTCAGGTCCAGGGGTACCTTAGAGACCCCACAAGATTTTCAGGGTGTGAGTTTAAGAGAACCGGAGCTCTCCTTGTAAGATCCCTTCAAAGCTGAAAAAGCGCAAGGTAGCTAGAACAGTGAAAAATGCATCTTGACAGATTTACAGAAGAACCAAAAAGCAAACTCTTGAGCCTACTGTGTCAAAACATAAAATCTGCAACATGACTAATGCTTAGTTTCATTTTACCATTCTAAGCCAAGTTACATGCTTCTAAGTCCGTTGGTTTCTGTAGACTGAGACAGGTATAACTCTGCTTAAGACGAGGCTGTTGACTCTCCCATTCATCTCTCCCACCTACCTATCTGACGTGCTCTCTCTTCATTCTGTTATCATATGGCAGGTGCTGGCTAGGAAGCTATTGGGACCAATCACCACTGAGATCCAGCAGGCTGGCGCATTCTATTATGCCGAAGATTACCACCAGCAGTACCTGCACAAAATCCCGGATGGCTATTGTGGCTTACAAGGCAGTGGCGTTGCTTGTCCCATTGCTAATGGAGATGAGCCCTAAGGGGAGCCTTCCTGGGAGCCATGGTGATCAGAATCTGGATGTGGTTGCCATGGAAACTAAAGGAGCCAAGCATTCTCTTTTAATTCAACCGTAATTGGACATTCGTGGCCTTTGTTTCCTTCTTTATGACTCTGTGGGAGTGGGAGGCCCACTGGAGGATCCTTCTGTACCTTTGGTATGTGTGGACACACGTGAGATGCTTTCCATCCACAGCTGCTGGTCATGTGGAATTCCACAGAATGTGTCAAAGATGTGTTTCGGGTACAACCACAGCCCCATTCCTGGTTCAGTTCTGACATACAGGAAGCTGAAACCAGGGGAGATCCCACACCTTTGGTGTGTTTGGGATGGAGTGCGGTTCAGTTGCTCTCCCCTCCATCACATGTTTTACTTCTGTCATTGTGACTGATGGAAAAGCTGCCCAGAACTATGTCAAGTTACTCTGATGTCCTGGAGGGTTTCCACCTCTGTGGCTTGGCTGAAAGCCAAGATCTTCTTTTCCATATCCACCACATCTTCTGGACTGTTCAGGGCACATCAGGTCAGTTGCTCCTGGGCATGTGCTGATTTCCCCACTGCCTCCTCCTTCACCTTGAACACACATGAAACTTGCCTTATGCAGAATCAGACTCTTGGTTCATCGAAGTCAGTACTGTCTCGGACCAGCAGCGACTCTCCAGGGTCTCAGGCAGAGATCTTTCACATCGTCTACCGCCTTGTACTTTTAACTGGAGATGCCGGGGATTGAACCTGGGACCTTCTGCATGCAAAGCAGATGCTCTACCTCTGTGCCTCTTACAGAGGTTTTAATTACGTGCTTTCACTTTTTAATGCATATGTCTAGAATGAGTATTACTTTCTCAAATGTGAAGTTGTAATACAGGCAGGGCTCTTTTTGTAGTAGGAACTCCTTTGCATATTAGGCGACACACCCCTAATGTAGCCAATCCTCCAAGAGCTTACAGAGCTCTCTTTTTTTCTTTTTCATTAACATTTTATTGGTAGGATTATAAAGTTTCGAGAAGTCATAACTGTCAATTACTTATAACATTACAAATGTACATAAGGATCATAAGAAAAGTTAAACCTTCAAACCAATACACCAATTACAAAAACAAACAACATCAACAACAAAAAACGTAAGCTTCAAAGAATAATACATACTTCAATATACCTTTGAACAAAAGTAACTTGTTTTAGCCTCAATTTGCAATTGGAGCTTACAGGAGCAACTGTAAGCTCTTGCAGGATTGGCTACATTAGGGGTGTGTCGCTTAATATGCAAAGGAGTTCCTGCTACAAAAAGAGCCCTGAATACAGGAGTCTATTGTTTAGGAAAGAACTGGGCTAGGATCGGTTAAATAGGTACCTCTGCAACCAGGTAGAGAGATCCTTTTTTAGAATACGGGTAAGAGTAATTCCAGGTGGTCAGCCATGTTGGTCCGAAGCAGTAGAACAGCATGTTTCCCAAAGGCTCATGGGGATGCTTTTGAAAGACTCACCATAACCTAGGTGGTATAACAGCATGACTTAGCTATCCGAAAGGGGGATTGTTGGAGATCTATTGAAGGTGCCACTCTTGAGTGCCCTTCTAAGCTTTCTTGCCCTGTGAAAGGGAACTCAAAAGGCATTTAAATGCCTTCTGAAGGCAATTAAATGTCCTCTGAGCTGTTTCTTTCCTAGCAACTGATGTGCACCCTGCCCTGTCCCTTGAAAGGGAGGGCTAGAAACAGGTGCAGACCCCCACCCTCTTTAAAGACAGGCAGATTAATTTAATTAACTGTAATTTAACAGCCCGTTCCAAAAATTAAATGCCCCCGAACAAAAAAAAATCCTGGCTATACTGTATATTATAAACTCTGAGGAAAATTTCAAATTAGGAACTTTTAGTCCAAGTGTCAGCCAAGTTGAAAATCGTTTATTCACAGTGTCAAGAGCTGAGGATCAGGTTCGGCAGGAGAGATTGGTCAGTAGGTTGAAACTGCCAGTCTAGCCAACAAGAAAAGGAATATTGCTTTTAAGAAACTGAGAATATCTCCTACTCAGTTATTCAGTGGGTTCTTCTCTGAAAGGACCCCTGGTTTGTGAAAAAGAAAACAGTCTTCGACACCTCCAGAGTCAAAAGGTTCACTATAATCTCACAGGGGTAGAAATAAGTACAGGAAGAAAGTGCTTGCCTCCAGGAAACTGTTAGCTAAATGAATCTATTATGAAGACACATTGTTGCTGCGAAGAAATCTCTACGACAAAGAAATATCTCACTGTTAATAACAGAGCATTTATGAAAATAAGCATCAACAATACTCTATAGTCAGATAAAAAATATTATAACCTGTAAATACAATGAAATTTACCTCAAGTTTCTCATCCCCTGCCTATCTTTAATCCAGCCATGCCTGTTAAATAAAATTTATTTCAGATTGAACTTTACAACATCTCAAGTGCCATTTTCAATAAAGAGGGGGAAGAAGATTTATGCCTCACCCTTCACTCAGAGTCTCAGAGTGGCTTACAATCTTTTTCCCTCCCTCTCCCCAAAAGAGACACCCTGTGAAGGTAGGTGGGTCTGAGAGAGCTCTTTCAAGGGCTGCTCTTGAGAAAACAGCTCTAAGAGAACTGTGACTGACCCAAGGTCACCCAGCTGGCTGCATGTGGAGGAATGGGGAATCAAACCCAGTTCTCCAGATTAGAGTCTGCCGCTCTTAAACATTACACCAAACTGGATAGCAACAGGGCAACTGCTTCTCCATAGAAAGTCTTTTATAAACCACATTCATTTAAATGCTACTATGGGCTGCTCAGTCACAGCAGGGAACTAAAAAGAATTTTGGTGGAAAAATCTGCCTCACAGTAAAACAAGCAGTAAGGGTCTATCATAGATGGATATGCCTGGGTGTTTCATTTTTTTTTTTTTTCCAATTCAACGTTTATTCAAAAACATAGAAAGGAGATAATAAAATACATTAACATTTTAACTTCAACCGTATACAGACTTGTCAACAACGTAGAACTATGAAGAGAAAGAGGTGAACAATCTTGCGCTGCAGTATAGTATTCGAGATTCAATGATCCTAATAAGATGAAAAATCAAAATATTACCAACATAGTCGTTATCTATATAGCAATAATTGGTATTTAGCTTTTGATATAGATTCCCAATCAAACTTATCAAGGGAAATTTTGTCCAGAATTGGGTTCCATTTGTCTAGGGGATCATGAAAGGCAGTTTCATTTTGGAACATGGTGTTATATAATGAAAACTTTTCAAGAAGGAAAAAATCCCATAATTTATGTTTCCATTGATTAATCGTGGGAGTATTTTTGTTTTTCCATTGTTTTGCTATTACAACCTTTGCTGCTGTGATCATTATATTAATCATTTGTTTTGTTCTTAATATGGGTGCATCTATAGGCCACAGGTTAAGTAAGATGAGTTTCGGGTCCAGAGGTAAGGTATATCCGGTAAGTAGGTCAATTTGGTGTATTATTTGTATCCAATAGCTTTGTATTTTAGTGCATGACCACCAAGCGTGGAAGTAATCCGCTTTTTGTCCGCAGAGTTTCCAGCATTTCGCCGAATAATTGGGATGTATGTGTGCTAATCTCGCTGGAGTTAGATGCCATCGATGCATAACTTTAATCGATGTTTCCTGTATAAGCAGGGAGGCAGATAGGTTTTTTTGTGTCTTCCAAATGTTATTCCACTGGTCTTCCGATAATTGTTGTTTGAAATCTTTGTGCCACGCTTTTTGGTATTGCAACAGGGATGTAGATTTAGAGTCTAATAATTGTTTATATATAATGGCAATTAGGCCTTTTTTCTTTTGTAACTTTACTAGGAATGACTCGTATTTAGTAATGGGTTTATTTATAGACGTTTTAAAACTAGGAGATGTGACCAGATTTTGAAGTTGCAAATATTCAAACCAATTGATTTTTATATTATGCTTGTTTTCCAGGTCCGCTTTTAACGCGATATTGCCATTGTGAAGAACATCAATGATTCTTGTGATTTTAGCTTCTCTCCAAGAAAGGTAAGTGTTTGCTTCCTTGGCCGGTGGGAACCACGATTGGCCTATGAATGTGCTAAGTTTAGAGTTTGTAGAGGAGAGTTTATTTCTGTAATAATACCATAATTTAATAGTAGTTCTCAGGAAGGGGTTGGAAATTTTATTTAAAGCTTCTTTACTACTACGTTTCCAAAGTAGTTCTTGTATGTTGTTTTTATGTGGAGATTCAATATGTTTCCATTGTGGAGCAGTATCCTCATGATACATGCGCACTAGGGTTGCTAGATTAGTAGCTGCATAGTAATGCGATAAATCAGGAACAGCAAGTCCTCCTTTTATTTTTGGTCTTTTCAAAATGTTATGTTTAATACGAGGTGGTTTAGCCTGCCATAAAAGATGATTTATATCTTTTTGCCATTTTTTAAATTGCTGCTTATTTACAAATAGGGGCAATGTGCGAAATAGATAAAGGTATTTAGAAAGAATATATGACCTCATTATATTAATTCTATCGCACCATGTGAAAAAATTATTATTCCACGTAGAAATGAGCTTTTTGATTTTAGTATGCAAGTTGTGATAATTGACTTTCAAAAGATCATTAAGATTAAGTGGGATCTGGATTCCTAGATATTCAAGCGTCGAAGTTGTCCATTGGAATTTATAAGAAGTTTGGATTTCTAGCTTGGTTTGGTTTAGAATATTTATAGGGTAAACGGTGGTTTTATTATGGTTAATCTTTAGTCCTGCAATGTCTCCAAATTTGGTTAGTTCCCCTTCTATTTCTCGCATCGACTCTATAGGGTTTGATACATAGATTATGATGTCGTCCGCAAATAGACTCGTTTTAAAAGTTATATCATGTGCCGTTATACCAGATATATTGTTATTATTGCGGATTGCACAAACAAGTGGTTCAAGAGCTATAATAAAGAGAAGGGGGGAAAGTGGACAGCCTTGACGGGTACCACGAAATAGTTGGAACTTCTG